CGCCAAGGCATCCAAAAACGAAAGAGTACCCCCCCCCCCCCCCCCCCCTCATGACGACCAGGTGGAGGCGCTGTTCCTGACTCTGCTGCAGGCTAGCCGCGAGCCCGACCCCTCGCGGTATCTGGCCCGCTGCATTAGCGAGGACCGGGCCACGGACCCCCGCACCGAGGCGGAGAAGCTCCAGCTAAGGCAGGAGACGATGCCGCTGTCCACGTTCGCATGGTTCTTGAGGGAGGTCCAGGGGGAGGACGTGTCTGATGAGGTGGGTGGGCGGGGGAGATGTGTTTGGCGTTGATTGGTCACAAGGCTTTGTCGTTGATTGGTCGAGGACGTTTGAATGGGGGCGGGGATGCCGCTCCTTCGGCCGAGGGGGGAGAGTAGCGTCTCGTTGCTTGAGCATGGGTGGGGGGATCTCGATATGCCCGTTCTTTCTGCAGCGGGTGGTGGACTTAGCCTCGTAGGCCTTATTTTTGATGCTTGGTCTTTTGCGCCGCTGCTGTTCGCCTGCTTGCTTCTCTCTTTTTTTTTTGCTGCAGCGGGTGGCGGAGCTAGCCTCGGAGGCTACCTCTCACGGGAGCGACAGCGTGCTCTCCTACCGCGCGTTCTTCAACTACATCGGGAGCGTGAACGACAACTCTCCCGTAGATACCAAAACGGTGTCCGAGGTGTATCAGGTGCGCACGGTTGTTGTTGTTGTTGTTGTTGTCGTTGTTGCACAAAGCCCAAGATACGCCCGTATCCTACAACCGCAACACCGAAAATTGGAAACGCAACGAAGTCATCTACAAGATGCAGATCTACAGTTATTCCACTGTGAATGGGCAGGTGAAAAAATAACAGTTTTGATGCTGATCATGCGGTGGATTTTCTCTTGCGCCGTATTTCTTATTTTTTGCTGTGCTTTTATTATTTTGCCTGTTTCCGTCGTGCAGGACATGAGCCAGCCTTTGTCCCACTACTACATCTCGTCAAGCCACAACACCTACCTCGAGGGGGACCAACTGCAGAGCAACTCGTCTGTCAACCGGTACGTGTCCCGCCGCATGGGGGGAATACCTTTTGGGGGGGGCGGCTGGCATCGCAGGGCACGGTACGCTGCCATGTAGGCTGCTTGGCTTCTGCTGACAGACGCCGATCAGTATGGGGTGTGGAAAGGATGTGCTGCTGTTGATGCTGACGGGCATTGGCGGTGATGGCCACGCATTCGCTCGGGGAAACATTCACGACACACGGTTGGGGGATGACATGAACAAAACGGATACTGATGAAGGCAACGCAAGCTAAGATGCAATAAATGACTATGCAGGGGATGGGAATGTGTCATGCAGCAACTGATTTGAGAACAAATGGATGGTGACGTCAATGACCGCTCCCGTGCCCTGCCACCGCTGCGGTATGTATGTCTCATCACGTGATAGGTATATCAACGACCTCTGCAAGGGGTGCCGGTGCGTGGAGCTGGACTGCTGGGACGGGGACGACGGAGAGCCTTTGATCTACCACGGCTACACGCTCACCGGAAGAATACGCTTCGCTGACGTCATACAGGTTAGTGACCTCATCCAGATTGGTGACGTCACCGAGGTTAGTGACGTCATGCCCGCAGCATGATTAGAGCTAATTTTACAGAGATGAATTCGTTGTGTTTCAAGAAATAAGTAACAATAAATAACGTAAGCGCTGTATCCAGGTTGGTGACGTCACGCTCTGAGTAAGAGTCAAAAATATTAGAAGGACATGTGTGCCGCTTTTTGTTTCTGGCCACCTCCCGATGTTGTCGTCTTTTCGTTTCATTTTCGAGATTTCTTGCCTGTGTCTCTTTGCACGATTTATTTTTGATGTCGTCTTCTCAATTGTTTTGATTCTTTTTCTTCTCTCCATTTTGAATCGTTTTTTTTCTGTTTGTTGTATTGTGTGTGCGTGTCCGCCGTTTCCTTCGATCAGGCGGTGATGGACTACGCTTTCAAGAAGACGGACTACCCCGTCATCCTCTCCCTGGAGAACCACTGCAGCTTGCCCCAGCAACAGAAGATGGCACAGTGAGCGTTGGTTGTGGTTGTTGCTGTTGGCCTTGCTGCTGCTGCTGCTGCTGCTGCTACTGTTTGTGGTCGTTGTTGTTGTTGTTGTTGTTGTTGTTGTTGTTGATGGTGATGTCAAAAGGCTGGAGTGTCTGCAGGTGGCGTGATATATTTCGTCGACGTTTTTTAGGTGATAGGGTAAGTACGCATGCTCTTTGTTGCTTGGTGGTTTTAGAGCCTGACAAAGCTGCCATCGCCACGCCCGGAGTAGGGTTCTGCGGCCTTCTGCCTACAGGGCGTGGCACGTTTAAGGCTGGTGTGGCCTATTTCGTCTCCTACGCCAGCTTTTGGTTCCTGTACCCTTTATTTTGGTTTCTTGCAAACCCGCACGCACAGTTCCTACACTCTCCCAAGATCTGATTTTGCTGCAGTGTACCATTAGAATATTTGTATGGAGGCAGAGTATCGTCCTGTTCCCCTCTTTTTTGTTGCTTTTCTTGCAAACGCGTACACACATCTCCCACATGACCTGATTTTCCGGCCGTTTATGTTTTTGTTTTTGAAGGTGTCACGGCGATAGAGACCGTTTTGACGATCACCTCCCGCCCCGTTTTGCTTTCGAACCAGGTGCATGGTTCGAATTATCGGAGACACCATGGCGGTGCTGCCGGAGCTGGGAGAGGGGGACCCGCTGCCTAGCCCCGAATCGTTGAGGGGGAAGATCATCATCAAGGGGAAGGTTGTCAAGGAGGGCGAGGTGAGGATAAGGAGAAGGTAGCAGTGGACGTGTTGTTGCGGGGAAATAATATGACTTGGTTGAAGAGCTGTGCTTTGATGCTAGAATAGTCCACCGGGCCTACGTGTGTAAATCAATGCGGAGAGTCTTTTATGTGTTGACTTTTTTTAGGGGTTACATGGCAATCTCGCAGCCGTCCCTTGAGGCAATTGGCCCACCGACGATCACTAGTAGAAAAGGTCGGCAGCAGAAAATGGCAGCAAGCGAACACGACCTGGTGCAATCTGGTTTATTCGTTACACTTTGTGCGCTGGATAGTGGATGAACGCGTGTGATTGGTTGGTTCCGTCTTGCGGTGCGGTCTGATTTGGCTGTGGTGTCACGAACGAATCTGATTGGTCGGTGCCCACCCGTTCCGCGGTGCAATCCGATGCCGGCTCGAGTTTCACGAACGAATCTACTTGTATCTGATTGGTCGGTCCCGTCCCATCCTGCGGTGTGATCTGATTTGGCACAGGAGTACGCAGAGATGGACGAGGAGGAAGACGAGGAGGGGCAGCAGCAGCAGGCGCTAGAGGCCAGCAAGTCCGGAAAGATGCCGATGCTGCGGGCAGGGTTCCGCAGCGGTGTCGCTGGCCCTGCGTCGGACTCTGCTGCTGCCGCTGGGAGGGCGACGAACACCAGGCGACCGTCTAGAGAAAACCTTCCCCCGCCAGCGGGCAAGGTGGGCGAGACGGAAGGAGAGAGAGGGAGAGAGGTGGGATCAAGACACACACACACACACAGAGAGAGAGAGAGAGAGAGAGAGAGAAGAGACTCACAGACAGATAGATAGACATTCAGACAGACGGAGGCACACACAGCGAGGGAGGGGAGAGGGAGAGAGATGGGACTAGAAAAAGGATTGTTAGTCCCTGGGGAGGGGTGGAAGTCGCTACCGAAGGAGAAGCTGTCCTAACACAGCTGCCCGAAATCTCACCTTCGTAACAATAAAGCACCCAGGATTCTGGCCGCCGACACGTATTTTCCAGCAAAACCATGAACCGTGTCGAGATCGAGAGTAAACATTTCTTCAAAATTGAAGGGGGGGGGGGGGGGGGGGGGTCAATACCAAAAATTTGGGTGGGTTTGTTT